AAAAAATTATTGTTTTTCTCAAAACCACATAAACCGTATGATAACGTCGACAAAGACAAAATAAAAACGAAACATTAAAATTAAGATGTATCTCACTATATTACACGAATACCTTTTTAAGATGTTATAATCAGATCTATTTTGCATATTAATTTTTTCTTAACTACTATGATACGCTCTTTTTTAGACCTTGGACACGTACCCATCTCTTCCACCCCAAAAATGGTCTGTACGTACTACTGAGTGTGCATAATCCAGACAGCATTCAAGATTCCATGACGTTGCTGTTCAGTTTCCATTATACAGCTCCATATTCCAAGCAACACTTTAACGAATCTAAACAAAATCCTTCTTTACACAACTTATAGGTTTTATCACAACAACAAAATCGGATTTATAGGACACTTCTAAATTCTAAATGTTCTAATAGACCACTTTATAGGACTTAGTTTATAGGACTTAGTTTATAGGACCAAAAAAATAAAGTGTCATATCTAAAGACGTTGTAATAAGTTTATATGACGTTTTTTGACGTCGTAATAAGTTTTTTAGGACACTTTTAATATAAAGCGTCTCATTAGCAACTTTATAGAACAGTATTTGAAAAACTGTCCTATACAAACAAGTGTTCTATAAAAAAATTGTGTTTATAAAGTTGCTGATGTGACATTTTGTATTAAAAATGTTCTAAAAAACTTGTTAAGACGTCCAAAAGCGTCATATAAACTTATTACAACACCTTTAGATAAGACGTTTTAAATTTTGGTCCTATAAATTAAGTCTTATAAAGCGGTCTATTAGGATGCTTAAAGATTGGGGGCGTCCTATAAACCCAATTTTGTTGTACTGAGTTTATTCATAGTATTTTTAATAGCCATGCCATAATTTTTCTAAAATAGAATATTAAAAGTTAAAATCTCTAAAAAAATATACATCTAACTTCAACAGCTATTTTGTTTTAGCAATTCTACCATTAATTATATTATGGAAATATTCAGTACATTTAATAAAATATTATTTTTTTTTCTAAAAATTTAATTTCAGTGTCTTGTATTGGTGAGAATGAATAAAATAGTTTTAGAAATTTCTCTAAATTTGGAGATTTTTTAACTTCTATCTCTTTTTTTTTTTTCTATTTTAACATATAAGATATCATAATAACTGTTGGAGCAAAAAATTGCTAAAATTCTTCATTTTCTCCATTTTAACATAGTTGTTGAAGATGTTTTCACAGACCATAAATTATATGTATGTTAAATACACATGTATAAACGTAAAAGATTCGAATTTATTATTTTAAGATGCGTAGGACTGTAGATATAAACACACTAAATAAGGGGCCGTTTACTAAACACTTATTCGGGTAAGTGCTTACCAAGTCACATTACCTTACCGGATGAATATGGTAAGGGTCATCTCACCCAGTAAGAATGAGACAAGGACCAAGAGTCTTACCCAGTAAGTGATGACAATAACTCTTACCACGGTAAACACTTACTGGGTAAATTGTTGTATACAATGCCTTTTTGGTGGACTAAAGTCTCACCCGGTAAGTAAGTGATAATGTTAATTTTACCCATAAACACTTTTCAGGTAAGTGTTTGATAAACGGCCCCTAAGTTAAACGATCATGGATGAAAATACTTGTTCCCTATTAGTTATTCTTTCAAGGAAAGAATATATTATACACTCATATGAGACTTCAGACTTCTTCACATGTGAATCGGTTTTTACTACAGTATCGAGTTTATAGATGTCAAACGTGTTCAAGTATATCCTAATACATTACTTTATAGGAATACATTTATACCATCAAAACTTTTGTTGTGTCCTATCTAAAAATGTTATAATAATTTTTCATGACGCTTTTAGAGATATTTTAATCAACTTTTTAGTACACTTTTGAAACAAAGTGTCATATTAGCCTTTTTATATGACATTTTTAAGAAATACTCTATAAATATGTATTTTTATAGGACATTTGTTTATAAACAAATTTTCAAATAATATCGTATAAAGTTAAGAGCTAATAAGATGCTTTGTTTAAAAAATGTCTTAAAATGCCATATATAAACGCAATAACAGGTTATACACTTGATATATTATATATATATATATACATATATATATATATATATCAAGTATATATATAGAGGTTGGTTATTATACAACTCTTGACATTTATATAACCAATACAACTCAATCTCAACCGTCCATTTTATTTGATTAATATGTGATTTCATAGAAGTTTTGATTGTTTTTTAATATAAAGTATTGATCATAATTAATGAACCATATTAATCTTCCATAAATATTCAAATCATAATAAATGAACTCTCATCATTTTCATAAATATCTCAATTTATTGGGTTGCATTGGTTATACAAATGCAACGAGTTGTATTTGAAACAAACTCTCTCTCTCTCTCTCTCTCTCTCTCTCTCTCTACATATATATATATATATATATGGCTAATCAAATGAGAACTAATTAGTTTGTGGTAACCATGATATCCAATCTCAACTATAAATCTATAGATAAATTAAGAAATTTGTAATTTTGAATTGAAATTTTAATGCAAGGACATTTTAGGTATTTTAAAACTCTCCTATCTCCTCTCCTATCTCTCTGTCCCCCGTCCTCCGGCCTCCGGCCACCATCCTCCGGCCAGTCCAACGGTGATACCACAGTGGTATCACAATGCATCTTATATGTGCTTGGGTATCACATTGAGGTCGTTTGTGTGGTCGATTGGAAATGTAACACAGTGGTATCACAATGCATCTTATATATGTTTGGATATCAACTGTGTCTTTTGTTTAACAGAGTCAATATTTTTAGGTATCACAACGGTATCATCGGAGGACGGGGGGCGGAGAGAGAATAGAGGAAAGAGGAGAAAAAATATCTAAAATGTCATTGCATTAAAATTTTAATTCAAAATTACCAAAATTATAAATTTCATAATTTATCTATTGATTTGTGGTTGAGGTTGGATCGCACGGTTACTACAAACTAGTTAGTTCTCCCTTGAATGATCCCTTATACACACACACATATATATAGGGGTCCATTCAAGGGAGAACTGACTAGTTTGTATTAACCGTGAAATCCAATTTGATCAATCACTCGTTTGAAATATGTAAGGATATTTCTTAAATAAGCTAAAAGTGTAATATAGTAATTTTATTTTTGACAACTAATTAAAATATTTAATTAAATTTTTTAGAAGGAAATATTTAATTAAAATTAGTTACCTGATATATCAATTACTTAATATACATCGTATGTTAAATACGTTTGTGAATTAAATTGTATCATAGTGATAACGTTCACAATGTTTCACGTGTATCACAATGTATTTTTTTTTGTTTTATGAAATGTACCATAATGTGCATTTCTGTTATTTTCATTGTTTTATAAAAGGTATCACATTGTACATCTTGTATGAATATTTAGAAATCACAATGTGTATCTTGTGTTCACAGAAGGTTCATCGGAATAAGGTTCGTCGAATATGATTCACCGGAGAGAGGAAAAAGGAGAGATGAGCGAGGATATTTATAAAATTCCTAAAATACCCTTAACTAATATTTTAAGTTAAAATTATCAAAATTATTAATTCTCTAATTTAATCTTTGATTTGTGGTTGAGATTGAATCTCACGATTACCACAAACAAAACAGTTTTCATTTGATTAGACCCCTATGTATGGGCCTAATCAAATGAGAACTAGATACTTTGTGGTAACTGTGAGGTTTAATATGAGCCAATCATTTTAGATAATTAATATTATTTACTAAAATAAAACAAAAGGTAAATTAGTAAACTGTGTTGATTATTCAATTTACTTTAATTAGTTTAACATTCCAATTTATTTTAATTAGTTTAATTATTTTAATATATGTATATATATACACACACAAGGACCAAATCCGATGGCCTTCTCCAACACCCACCACCACTCCGGTGACCTTCTCCGGTTATCTTGTCTGATCAAGACGTTGTCTCCAATGATCGACCATTAAACGCCAACCTGTGAGCATTATTGACATCTGGTATCACAGTGGTACCACAGTTTTACCCCTTCTCAAAGTTTACTTGGTGTGTTTTGGGTATCACATTGTATGCATTTTGGGTATTATATTGTGAATCTTGGTGTATTTTGGGTATCACGTGGTGTTCGTTGGAGGCCGGAGGTAGAGAGAGAGAAAGATGAGGGATAAAAAAATTTAAATACCTAAAATGCCCTTTAATTATAATTTTAAGTCAAATTACCAAAAATATTAGTTTTCTAATTTATCCATTGATTTGTGGTTGAGATTAAATCTCACAGTTATCACAAACTAATCAGTTCTTCTTGAATGAACCCTTATATATATATGTGTGTGTGTGGACATTCTAATGTGAATAATAACTAAATAAAAAAAACTTGAAAACAGACAAATCACTTGTAAAACTACATGTCATTTTACACTAACGATCAATGCAAGGATATGCGGGTGATGTCGTGGCCAACTCACGTGAATCACATGTGATTCTAATGTAAAATCATATATGATTCAATTATTTTCTTATTCTTTTATTTTATGCCTGTTAGATATCAGTTTACAGAATATCTTGAAGTAAATATAAGTTTATTTTACCCTAAATATCAATGCTAAATTACGCTACTTACTCATTAGCAATTATTGCAATGTATTGATGACTAAATTCATTAGCATTATCTAAGATTCAATCAAGTACATATATTTATATTGCATTTATTTCGTTAGGGAAGAATTATATACCCATTTTCTTTGAATCCATATCTACGAGAAGAAATAACAACAAATGCCCAAATAAAAGAAACGCATGCTAAGTTGCAACACCCCTAATTCGAAAACGAAATTCGACAAATCCCCTCGCTTGTATACCCGTATGCTCGTTCTTTCCGGCCTCCCTCCGAACCCAAACAAGAAAACCCTATAACAAGAATTCACATACAAAAAACAAGAACATAAACAACCATCTCTTCCACCACCCCCGGACATGATTATGAAGGATACATGAAAAATATAGAACATATGTAAATACTTATGTACACAAGAGGATATGATGGGAAGAACAAACTCACTAGATATTGAACCCAACTTCTTCGATGTTGATTGATTCGTCAACGTTTGTACTTGATGAGTACTGAACTTTGGGCTGATATAACACAAAGAGGATCTGAGGGTTCGTTTCGGCACAGGATGAACTAACTTCATTTTATTATCTTGATCTCTAAAGATTGAAGTTTCAATTCATTTTCTGCTAGCGGACATGATCATTGGATCCGACCTCATTCTATTGATGTTTGAAGAAGGAATTGCCGGTACTAACTAACTAAATAAACAAAAGTCGAACCAAGAAAACGAAAAAGAGATTAAGAAGAAAAAGAATTACAAGTAAAAGGGTTGGTGGGTTTTAGTTTATTGAGCTTAGATCAAAGAAGGAACAGAAGAATCAATATTGCTTGTAGGATCGAACCAACCTCCACCACCACTGGTTTGGGTGTTCCATAAAAGGGGATTTTGATTGGATGATGCCATAGCTTCGAGTTGATCATTGTTGTTCGTCTGTCCCTGAAAATGATTACTCCAATCCATAAATCTTTGTTGCTGCTGAAAGCCTGAAGCTAATATAGAAGCCATGATAGGTGCACTAGTAGTGGAGCTTGAAGTTGAACCGGAAAACATTGAGGATGGGTAGCTTGAAAAAAACGAAGATGAATTGTGAGCATGATTTATCACGACTCCAGCCCCGGGATCCGAAGGCGAGAACCTTAATCCAAGATCACTCATTTGAGGTTGAGAAAAGTCATAGCCAGAAACAAGGGTATTGCACCTTTGGTAATTAGGGTTTTGAGGTGCTAAACCATAAACCAAAGAAAGGTGATCAAGGTTAGGGTTATGATCAACTGGTTGTGAAGTGGAAGCAACATGAGTTGTAGCAGCAGTGGTTGGTGGTACTTTGACTCTCTTGTTCTTCCTACAACCACCACCTACAGGAACATTTCTCAAGGTGCCACCCCTGGTCCAATACCTCTTACAGGCTTTGCAAAAATGCCTTGGCTGTGACAAACTGTAGTTATTGTAGTAGCAAAACTTAGTGTTGGACGAATCGCAACGTGGGCATTTCAAAGCCTGCTGTTTTTGGTGTTGCCGCTGCTGCTGCTGCTGCTGTTGTTCTTGATATCGATCAATAACTATGGGTTTCTCCATAACAGTAGCAAGCTTTTGAAAGCCACTAATCTTCTGTTCTCATCTATACTTGTAATCCGTATACAACTGGTTTTAAAATTAAGAACCATAACAAGAAAAAGGGATTACAAGGTTACAGAAGAACAAGAAGAAAGATGAAGATAGATACGGGTTCCAAATGCAAGAAGACAAAAGGAGTGGTCGTGTTTTGTTGTCTAATTAACAACTTAATAATTAAGACAGAGAAAGAAGCCGTGGCCACTAGTTAGGACTTGAAGAGATGGCCACAGTTGATTTTGGTTACCCACAAGTTGTAGAATTTCCAAAACACAAAACTGATTTGAAATTGGATTCTTCGGAACAAACAGCAAACAGCCAAAGAGCAGGTGATCCAGTTGTGCTTATTTCTTGTGTGTGTATGTATATATACACACACACATACATACATATACATATATCTAGAGAGAGAGAAAAAAAGATAGCTATGTGTGTGTCAGGAAATTAATGAAGGAATGGTTTAATTAATCCCACGTGATTAGGGGTCCAATAGATTAATTCACAACCACTTGGAATCAATAGTTTCACGTTGTCAAATTCGTATGCTTACCCTATACAACAAGTATATGTTCACTTGCATGCATTTCGTTATGAACTAATTTAACTAGACAATGTAGCTTCAATGGTTCTAAAAGGGACCCCGGAGGTCAATTTGGAGCAAATTCAAAGTCTTACACGTTAACGTATTTCGAGGGTTAGAAACAAATATATGTTGACAAATACGATTACAATACTATAGTTTGCTTTCCACATGAGATGACTCTTGAAATTGGACGATAGATCTGTTCCGAAGTATATTCGAAGATAATATTCTAATCGAAGGTACGTAAAAATTGTGAGAGTGAAATTAAAGCAACCAATTTGTGGATGAATGGATTTGTGAAGGGAGAAAAGAAACATAAAAAAGTGGGAATTTGGAATGTGGCAGAGGATTGTAATTAAAAACAAAACCTCCGTAAATAAGCTGAGTCCAGTAAGCTTTTAGTTGGCACCTTTTAATAATAAACGTAATTCTATGGTAGTATTTGACTATTAGATACATATTTGAACAATGAGAAAATAATAAACGATATTTAATTATATTTATATAAATAAATCTGGAAAATATTGTAATTTTAATTTTTACCCGAATTATAAAATCATATACGATGCGAACTTGGACAACCAATCGTGATTCGAACAAGGATCAACGAGCTGTCCGTCAGTAAGAATGAAGAGAGAAACCACCGATCCGACATGCCTCGATCGATGCTGACCCATATCACCATATAACAACTAGTTTGTTGCTGAGATTTAGAAAGAAAATCACTTTTTCATGGATGATTGTGGGGTTTTCGGGCATCTTATGCACACTGACTAATCCATGGTAGACGACAAATAATATGAAGTCGTCACAAAAGCTTTATCAGCGTTTGAATTCAAACTCGGATACAAAAATCACATTATAATGTAGAAATATGCAAATTTTTGTAATACAAAGAGTTAGATGAAAAAATTTACCAAAATCTAATATTTTTTGGTTTACTCATTTTGAAATATTATATTTAAGACTGGTTTTGCTAAACAAATTTTATTATTTTTGGGCATTATTAACTAAATACCCTTTTTTGGGACAATGAAATATATGAAAGATAGTTACACGTTATAAAGTTAACATATACATGAACATAGGTTTAGTTCACATAAAAATTATGAATATTGATAGAAAATGAGTAGAAAAAATTAAATAAATGTTAATATATGAATTACTGATACATCTGTAAATTCATATGATTAATCTGTAACGTCAGTTCATATATATATATATATATATTGTTAAAAAATTTGTTTACTATTTTTTTTTTAATAATTCATATAAAAACCTTCCAATTATCTCTGCTTATAGTTAGCTTTCTTTTATGAAGCTCTTGTATATAAACAATACCTTCAATCATTAATGATAGACGGGTTCCGTCTATAAATATCCCAACTTATTCACCATAATACATAAAAAACAAATTGTGTGCAAACAAATAGTAATAGTAACAACATCAATCCATATAGTGATAATTAGTAGTATGACTACCTATATGATTAAATCTAATAAAATAATCATGTATACACACACACACATATATATATATATATATATATATATGACAAGTTCAGAGAAAAATCTCAAAAAAAAAAAAAAAAAAAAAACTGAAAAACACTCTGATAACCGTCCATTTGGATCATATGTGCATGTACATACAAGTAATTTATAAGTATTTTGTCCAGTATGCACAGATGGATAACATGCATATGTGCATAAAACAAAAAAAAACAACTTTAATTACTTATATGTACATGTGCATATGGACCAGATGAACGCTTACCAGGGTGTTCTCGGTTTTTCATTTTTTGAGGTTTTCCTTGAATTCCCCCCCCTCTCTCTCTCTCTCTCTCTCTCTCTCTCTCTTTCTATATATATATATATATATATATATACATACACACACACACTATATTATAAAAGATTTGACAAAAACACTTAAAAATCATTTTTTATGCATTATGTACTGTTTGTTGATGCCTATTGCTTAAAATTCAAGATTACAAGTAAATTATGCGTATATACAACTTATTAAAGCTCCATGTTTGAATTTATATAACTAACTACAGATAAACATAATCAAATACTGGATAGGTATCTCATTTTAAATATAAAAAATTTAAAATATATATGTATAATTATTGAATTCTAACAAAATATAAATTGTTATATTTATAAAAAAATTATATTATTAAACAAAAAATAAATGACTTCATTATTAAATCTAACATAAATTGTAAAAAAAATATTGAACTAAATAAATTACACAAAAAAAAAAAGTTTAAATATTTAATTTTATAATAAAGTCGATGCATTTTTTTTCAAAATTTTATGATACTTTCAAATTTATATTTTATTCAAAAAATAAAAACATTATCGTTTTTTAGATACCACATAAAATTGTATTATGACATCGACGGAGACAAAATAAAATAAAATATTAAAATCAAGATGTATCTCGCTGCATTGCACGAATACCTTTCTATCACATTGCACGAGTACCCTTTTATTGCATTGCCCGAGTACCATTCTATTTATACTATATTATAATACATTTAACAAAATCTCTTAAAAATAATCTTTTATGCATAAAGTACTGTTCATTGATATATATTACTTAAAATTCAAATTTACAAGTAAAATATGCATGAGTACATCTTATTAAAGCTTCATGTTCGAATTCGTGTAACTAACTGTATATAAACATAATCAAATATATGATAAACATTATTTTAAATATAAAAAATCTAAAATATATTTAAAATAATCATTGAGTTCTAACAGAATATTTAATTATTATCTTAAAAAATTATTTTATTAAACTAAAATTAAGTTAATTCTTTTTTAAACTTCAATTAAATTATAATAAAAAAATTGAATGAAAGAAATTACACAAAAACATAAACTTTTAAATAGTTAATTTGATATCAATATTGATTATTTTTTTAAAAAAATTTAATATCTTCAAATTTATATTTCATTCAAAAATAAAAATATTTTATTTTTCTCAAAACCACATAAAATCACATTATAACATCGATAAACGCAAAATATAAAGCGAAACATTAAAATCAAGATGCATCTCGCTGCATTGCGTGAGAAGCCTTCTAGTGTGTGTGTGTGTGTGTGTATGTATGTATATATATATATATATATATATATATATAGTATATGGGTTGAGTTCATGTGAGACCAACCTGTTTTTGTGAGACAATGAGACCACATTTTACACATGGAACTTTACAGCAAAACATTGTTATGGTAAAAAAAAAATTTGAACCTTCATATTGTTTTACTGTGAAGTTTCAAGTTAAAAATGTGGTCTCACGAAAATAGATCGGCCTGACATGATCCTAATATATATATATATATATATATATATATATATATATATATCACAGTGTTCTTCTGTGAAGGGTTAGATTTTTTTTGCCTTCACAATATTTTGCTGTGAAGTTTCAAGTGTAAAAATATGGTCACATGGGTCACACAAAAACAGGCTGCTCTCACGTGAATCGAACCATATATATATATATATATATATATATATATATATATATATAGGAGCGATGAAATGCAAACCACCCACTTTGTACAAACCGTGAAAACCCCATTCAAACAATCATAATTTTTCATTTTGTTCATTTTCTGTAATTATGTGAGGTTGATTAATCATTTTTATTGTGGAGGACGTTAATCATGAATATTATCATCTTTATTATTTTAATTTTAGAGAAATACATGAAATAGTTTTATTAAAATTTTATTAAGTATTATATGAAATAATTTCATAACCATATATGAAACAACTTCATCAATAAAAAAGTATTATATGAAACAATTTCACAAGATTAAACAATTTCATGAAAAAATTTCATAAGATTAAACAATGAAATCGACGGATGAGGGTGGTTTACATAGTTTGTACAAATTGAGTAGTTTGCATTTTATCGCTCCTCCCTCTCTCTCTCTCTCTCTCTCTCTCTCTCTATATATATATATATATATATATATAGGGGCAGGTTCAAATGCGAACCATCCAATTCTTAAAAACCGTGTAAACCAATTTCGACCAATAAGAAAATTCCATTTATTTTTAATTAGATTTAATTGATAAGGTTATTTATGTCATTTTACATAATTTTTTGATAATTAAGGAAGTTAGTAATACATTTTATTTAAGGCAAATTTAATAGAAGAAAATATGAAAAATGGTAACATTTCAAACTTTTATTATAATATATTATTAAAATCTTTATTTTTAATTATTTGCAATGCAATGAATCTACTGGAAATCTTGTTCATGTAAAAAAATTAATAAAATAGTTAATGAAATAGATTCATGAAAAAAAATTAATAAAATAGTTAATGAAATAGATTCATGAAAAAAAATTAATAAAATAGATTCATGAAATAGATTCATAGCTAATGAAATAATGCATAATTGACTTTGTTCGTCATGAAATCAATCTG